AAAGGGAGCAAAGACCCCCGTCACTTCGTTAGTCCATTCTTCAATATCGACTCACTCAAAACCACCTACGGACGGAGTTTCCGTGCATTGCCTGATGAAGCTTATTGGCCGCTGTACGAAGGGAAATTGATCGTCCCGCCATTCGGACAGAGGCGTGAACCGGGTCGCCCGAGGAAAAAGAGAATTCAGAATGAAATGGATCAAAGTGGAAGACCACCACGAGGCCCAAGACGATGTTCAGTATGCAAAGTTCCAGGACATGATAAACGAAGGTGTCCAGGACCGATTGGTCATCAAAATCCGGGTGCTGATGTGCCGGACTCAGCTAATGCGACATAATTTTCGATTATCATTCGTCAAGCTAGTTGTAACTCTTACGTTGCATTTAATTGTTTATTGTTGATTGAACGAATTGGGATTATATCAAGTTAAGAGGAATCGTCATAATAACAATTTGATCAACACTCAACGAAATAGGATAGATTAAAGGGAATAGTTCCAAGTACATAGAGATAAAAATCAACTCAAAATACATCTCAAGGAAGCCCACGAGCTTCACCGGAACCCACAGTTTTCTTGCTCCTTGTACGTTTGCCGACGGGAGTAACAATAGGTGGTGGGGGTGGCAAGTTCCGAACGGCCGAGGTAGTGTGGCGCTCGCCGGTGCTATGTCGGCGGGGAAGCGGCACTTCCGGGGTCGAGCGGGCGACATCGGCGCTCATACGGTGAGGAGTAGGAGGCCACTGCTGATGAGGGTGATTCCATGGGTTGAACTCGTGTTGGCCTGTCGTGGAGGAGCCATCATGCCAAGTCCCAGATGATGTTTGGCGGGGAGATTGGGGGTAGATAGGGCGGGAATCGTAGTATGTTTGGCGGGGATAGTTGTATGAGATCGGGGTGGGAGAATATGGGGCTTGGTGGAAACTCTGAGAGGATTGATGGTAGGTCGAGCGAGGATCGTAGTATGAGCTTTGGTGGTGATCGTTGTGGTAGGAGGGGCGGAAATCTTGGGAGGAAGTCGGGCCGGCATCTTGGGAAATAGTCGGGCGGGGAGATGGGGCGGAGGACGGGCGGGGAGCTTGGGTGGAACTCGGTCCGGCACCTTGGGTGGAACTTGGTCCGGCACCTTGGGTCACAACCAATGGGGGCGACACTCTCCACCCCCCATATGGCGTTACCTCGGGCACGTTGGGCCTTTCCCGAACCCTCTTGCTCTTCTTTCTCTCGTATGGTGGTGGGGGTGCGGGGACATCAAGTTGTACCGGAGGTGGTGGGGGTGCGAGCGCGGGCGGATATCTACGATGATCCCGGCCCTGAGTTCTGATACAGCCAAGTAGACCGTTTGCCATCCTCCTGATGAAGCTCACATCTTCATTGCCCAACTCAGTTCTTCCGGTAGTCATATCTTTGATCCACTCGACCCCGTCAGCCTAAATCACAAAAAAAAAGTTAGAAAGAGATTTAGGAACCAAGTAATAAATCATAGTATGTTTAGACTGGTTATACTTACTAATGCACCATCGGCCGCACCCTCCGGAGTCATGTAACGAACTGATGTTTGCCGATATCGATCCAAGTATGGGTCATGATACCCCATTCGTCCCACTTGATTTGGAGTGACAATATCCTGTAATTGTCGGTTATCCCAAATCGTGATGAATTCCTTCAACTTCGTGGGCCAATCGCGAGTACCTTGCCGACCATCTCGGCCATGGAAGGCCCTTTGACTTTCGGGGACCTCCAACGGAATGCACTGCTCCCGACCAAACTGACGGAGGCATCGATCCGGCAAGTGCCACTCCACGGTCCCAAAACAAATTAGAGGAACCCTCGTGCACCATTGCCCGATATGACCGGGGAATTGCTGGATATGCCATTGAACGATGTTCTCCGGGTATGGATCGAATACGATCTACAAGAAAGAAATGAGTAACGTAAGATTAATTAATTAGAAAAATACATGTAGTCCCATGAAAAAAATATAAATGGATCGCAGTATAGAAGTTACCTCTCCTTCCCAAAGTCGCTCAAACCTCCTCCGATACTCGTCCAACTTGTGTTGGACAAGGTTGTCGCATGTGGTGTGTCCGAGCCACCTTATTAATAAGACAATAATGAAACTACAATAAGATAAAACACAAGGGAAAATGTGTTATGACTACATGATGGGGTATGAGAAGTTTACCTTGCTCCATAAGCTTCACCTCTTAGGGGATGATCGATTGGCCAATCCCTGTCTGGACGTTGGGCCGGTGCAAGCCATGGCATATGCTCCCAAGCCCAAAATTGGATGATGAACATTGCGCCGCTGACCTCCCTCACAGCTTTTAGAGACGCATTGCACAAGTTGTTGTAGATCATAGCTAGGCAAGCGGATGCCCAACTATACTCCCCCATCTCCTCCCAACTACTGAAGATGATCCTAAGCCATCCACAACTAAGGAGATTGCTTGATTTCTTGGAGAAGAACACTCCTCCGATCATGCCTATGAGATAGACACGAGCATATCTCTCCTTCTCATCCTCCGGACTTTCCTCGGTTAGGGGATGACTCTCGTAATGATCTCTAAAATACTTCGTCAACCATGTAATTGAGACTTGGTGTTTCCTCATTGGTGGCATGCGATCGGTCGCATCAACGCAACCCTTCACCGGTACTTTCACTCCCAAATGACTGTGGATGAAATGCTGCCAACCGGGCATACCGTCACAATCCTCTGGGGGATGATCACTCACGCACACCGGTTTGCCGTCGATGGGCAGATGGGTTAGGATGGCGACATCCTTTAGCGTGATGGTGGCCTCTCCTTCTCTAAAGTTGAAACAATGGGTCTCCTTTCTCCATCTCTCGGCTAATGCGGTGATGAGTTGGCGATCGACTTTGATGCCGTTAAAATGCCTAATCGAGTCTAACCGTGCCCTTTTGAGAAAAGGCAAGATAGCTGGGTGGAATGGGAGCACATTGGTGGTACCCCTGTAGCAGATTATTGTTTGTGCCTCCTAGCAAAAATTTACACGTTAATTATTATATATTAGTAAGGGTTTTTTTTGTATAACTAAATTAATTAAATTAAATTATGCGAATTAAAGCAGAATTTTATTATCATAAAAAGACATTTCATATTATCATATTACCATAAAACAAACGTCCTAAATTAATTAACATAATAACATTGTCAATGAATAATAATTTAAAGAGGTACATACATTTTATCGTAAAACAAACATACTAAATTAATTAACATAAATAACATTGTTAATGAATAATAATTTAAGTAGAAACATACATATTCAAATGTTTGGTAAATAATTTAATCATATTGGTTGTTTTAAATAATTTAATCGAATACAAAGCAACACTCGTTAGACTCTTAGAAGAGGTATACATCTTCTTAGAAATGCAGTCTTTTTGACAGAAAAAGGGAGGGATCCGAGGATCTCTTAATACCCGATTTTCCCAGGTAATGGGAGGATATGATAATCGCTTAAAACCCCATTTCCTTAGACGTGCATCTCCTTATAAAGAGTCGAAGTAAGTGGCGCTATGTATTCTATTAAATTATTGAAAACCACCAACACGATTAAAAAATCAACATAAATTTATTTTATATTACACTAGGCACATTAACAAAATAAAAGAAGAACAAATGGTGAAGAATTGTATGTACCGGGTGAGCGTTCCAAACATCCCTTGACCGATGGTTGGGTTGGTCGTACAAGTCGGTTGGATCCAATGGTCCTTGCTCGAGATAATACCGTTGGTTGTATATATCGACGTCCTCCCCAACCTACGAGAAAATAACAACAACGTTAGTACATAGATTAATTAAAAAGCTTATAACAACAACAAAAATTAAAGCAGAATAATGAGTACGTACCGCTTGAAATTCATCGACATAAACTCCCTCTCCTTGCCACCAATCGACCATTTTTTTGGGAAATTCGGACAGAGGTTCGGCTCGGCTCGGCGGGTTTTGAGGAAAAAACCTAAGAAATATTTTCTGATGGCAGATCGGACTTAGCCGCAACCAACAGAATTTTATTTCCTAGGCTTTTGGGAGGGGAGGGTTTAGAGAGATAAAATCTAGAGAGAGAAGGAAGAATGGGCTGTGGAGTGAAGAAATGAGAGGGGGGAAGGGGGGTATTTATACCCAACAGACCGCACCCCCCAGGGGCGGTCCGGTAATTTTACCACCATAAAAAACGCATCCTTCCGATGCGATCTCCGCTTCCCGAGGAGCTGACCGTTCTGAAAAGCGACGCTCCGTTTTTCAAGGCCGAAAAACGCTCCTCCCCAGTGCTTTCTCCGATCCACCGCGCGGATTGCTGACGTGGCAACGCTCCTGCCCGCTTGATCGCACTACAATTGTGCGGACTGTAAGGCCGCTGGCCACCAAACGTTGAACGCACCTTGGAGGTGCGTTTCCCATTCTGACTTGGCATAAAGCGCACCTTAGAGGTGCGTTTTATGTGAGAAACGCACCCTTAGGGTGCGTTTTATTTATAAAACACACCTCTAAGGTGCGTTCCATAAAAATAGGTTCTAGTAGTGTAGATTTTATCGGATGTGTGCTAGTTTTGTAATTTTTTTTTAAAGGTGCTATTATTGGAAAAATCTCTGCATCATATATGGTTAAAGATGCAAAGAATTTGGCTGAGTTGTTTAGTGATGTGATTAAATTGATTGGACCGAAGAATATTGTGCACTTTGTTACAGATAATGCATCTAACCATGTTTCTGCGAGTAAGCTGATTCATGAAAAGTATAGCACAATCTTTTGGTCTCCATGTATGGCACATGTTTATCAATCTTTTGCAGAAAGATATCTACAAGATGAACCATGTTTCAAGCTTAGTCAGTCGAGCTCAAAAGATTACTGTGTTTGTATATAGTCATCTCCCAATCTTAGCTTTTCTGAAAAAGTTAAAGGGTTGGAAGCAAATTGCACGACCAGGAGCTACTCGGTTTGCTACTCATTTCATTTGCTTGAAAAGTCTCTATGATCATAGGTCTCTGTTGGAGCAACTTGTCACTAGTGGGTTTTTTTTTTTTTTTTTTTGAAAATCACAAGTTGGGGAAAAGTAAAGAGGGAAATTTTGTCAAGAGTGTTGTGTTGGATAACAACTTCTGGCAAGAGTGTTTGGTAATTGTGAAGTTGAGATTGCCAATTGTGAAGTTGTTGATGATTTTTTATTCTGATGAGCAGCCATCTTTGGGATATGTTTATGACGGAATGAATCAGATTAAGAGTACTATCAAGAACACTTTCACGAGAAATGGAAAAGGAGCTGATCCTTTTATGAGGTTAATTGATGCTAGATGGGATAAGCATCTTCGACGTAGCATCTATGTAGCTGCCTATTTCTTGAATCCCATTTTTCAATATACCCCAGAATGTCGAGCTGAGCGTGGAGTACAAGGTTTGCTTTTTGATCTCCTTGAGACTGAAGGCTTATGTGAGGATGCTGATGAAGCAATTAAGGAGATTAGACTTTTTAGAGAAAGACTTGGGAGCTTTGGTAAAAAATCAGCTATCTCGTGTGCTACTACTTTACCTCCAGGTAATCAATTGTAATGACTCTATTATTTATTTTCTGTATATATTGTCAAATAGGATTTGCTTATTAGAACTTATATACCTGAATGTAGCTGAATGGTGGACACTATATGGAAATGATGCTCCAAAGTTGCAAAGCGTTGCTATACGACTTTTGTCTCAAACATCATCATCTTCTGGTTGTGAGCGAAATTGGAGTGTATTTGACCAAATTCATAGCAAGCGGAGGAATCGATTGGAGCACCAGAGATTAAACGATCTTGTTTATGGGACATACAATCTGAGATTGAAGTTTAGGTAATATTTTTTTTTGCATGTTACATTGTGAAACTTATTAGTACTTTATATACTTAATTGTTTCATCTTCTTTGATTTTTAGGTGCTTGAAGAAAGAGTGGAAGAGAGATCCAATTTACTATGAGCAATTGGATAAGAGTGATTTTTGGATTGTAGAGGAAGATCGGCCTGCAAACATTGATTATGAGGAAATTGAAAAGGCTCTCTATGAGGAGGAGGAGCATGAGGAATCATCATCCTCGTCTAGAAAGCGTCCTCGTGTTGAAGGTTGGCTTAGTATATTATAATTTAAAGTAAATTCATTCATGTTATAATAGTGAGCTTGTCATTATTAACAATCATATATATGGTTTTGTGGTTTGGTGCAGAGTACTTTGATTATGATGTGATTGATGAAATCGATTTCGATCTTACTCAAATCATTGACGCAATGGAGATAGAGATGGATGGTTTTATCTTTGAGGATATTTGATTATGTACTTTGAAGATTTGGGTGATGTTTGTTGAATCTTTAGGTGATGTTATCTTTGAGAATGTTTAGTTATGTACTTTAAACTATGAATGTTTATGTGGTGTTTGTTGGATTTAACTATGAACATTTAGATGTTAACATTAACTTATGAACATTTGTGAGTTGGTATTTAATCTTGTCCTAATTCAATTATGGATGTATTTTAGATATATTTTTTATGATGGGTTATTATATTCATATCCAGAAATTTTGGTAAAACCGGCACAACCGGCATGAAACTGATTTTATCACGGTAGAATCATTTCACTTGTAAAACTGGCGTACCGGCATAAACCGGTTTGACAACCTTGACTGGTGGTTAGTGGTTAACCGACAAATTAACCACTTACCAAACTGATAAAGCGTTGCAACTCTCGAATGCCACACGGCGCCGTTTTCAATTCCGCGAGTCTAATAAATGAACCGCCGCTGCCTAAAAAGTAAAACACGGGAATCGCTGATTCATTCCACTCACAATGGCACCGCCAGATTTCCGCCGTCCGTTCAAGAGAGCGGCGGTCTCCGATCAACAGAGGCGTCGAGAGTTGACATTACAGAGGCAAGCGCAGTCCCGCCATGATGCCCAGCAGCGAGTGCGTAATTTGGCATCCACCATTATCTCTCTTCAATCTCAAGAACCCGATGATGCTGCTGATGTTGTGCTCGAACCCTACCCGGAAGAATCTGAAGCTCCGCCGAAGGAGCTCGATATCCGGAGGGCGTCTAGGATGAGAGGAGAGCAAGTTCGCAATTGGTTCGCTAGACAACTGATGCTTCCGGAATGGATGATTGACATACCCGATAACTTGAGTCAAGACTGGTTCGCAAAATTTCGCCCACCGCCTGTTCGACTGTTTTCTCTTTGAGTGGAGTTGTAAAATATTTTGTGCTTAATTTTTATGCAGGTACGTCTTCGCCAGGCCGGCTGGGAAGCGCTGTTTCGTCGTTGCCTCAAACGGGACGACGGTTAGCAGGCAACGGAATGGGTCGATCTTGCATTGTTTCCCTTCTGCTCTCCCTAACGGGGCGAAGACGAGAGAACCATCAGGGCCTGCACATTCCTATTCCATTCTCGACTGCATATTTCACGAGGTGCGCTTCATCTCTATGAGAGCAGATTTCTCAAGCTTTGTTTATTGGAGGGTTTCTCTGAATTTTGGCCATTGGTCTACAAAAATTAGGGCGATCAAACATACTATGTGATAGACATGGTTTGCTGGGGAGGCTGCTCTTATTACGACTGCCCGGCCGACTTCAGGTTCTACTGGCTGAATTCCAAGCTTGAGGAGACCGGGGCATCTGGCCCTCCTTCCTATTACCATAAATACAGATTCAGCGCAGTCACCCATGAGAAGGGTCTGCCTGCTGCATATACAGATGCAACGCCTTATGTTAAAGACGGTTTGCTTTTCTATAACAAGTGAGTGCCATGTTTGGTTGGTTGGTTTTGACGTGTGTTTGATTTGATTAAATTATTTGCTGCACGTTCTACTCTTTGTTTTGGTTCCCTGCTGCTTATGGTCTGGCCATACGGCTTGCTCTATGCTTGTGCTTTTATCCTAATTTATAGGCATAGCCTCCTGGAAATTTGTTGGTTGGTTCCCCATGTAGTAAAAAAACCTCAACTTTTGGCTGTTAGGTCATGCTTGGAAGAAATTGATAACCTAGGATGCTAAGTTGAGCATCATATTCTTTTAGTTGCTGTTAGTGTGTTGGGCTTGACTGACAGTGTACGGTTTGATGATGAATTGATGCTGCTGTTCAGGCATGCGCATTATCAAAGCGGGAATACTCCCCTAGCATTAGTATGGAAGGATGCCAAATGTAGTCAATATGTTCTTGACACAGACAGCACCGGGGAGGTGCCGGACCAACAACAGGTACTATTTTCATTTTCCGGCGTGTGTTTCTTTTCATTTAGTTAACTTTCTTTTCCCGTGTCAAAGGTTGATTTGTTATGTTTTTCTACTCCTGCTTGTTTTTTACTTGTAAAAAGAAAGCAAAAACATGGCTGCAAAATTGACACCTTATTATGATCTGCCTTTTGCTAAGGTGGTATTGGAACTACAAGAGGATGGAAATCTGATTACATCAGATGATCCTCCCATCATCTTTGGCCGTCTGAATTCCGAGTTCATCCAACAGTTAGGCCTGCATTCCGGGAATTTTGTGCGCTGTGCAATTAATGATGGTGGGTTAAGCTTTGTGGAAGGTAAGCTTGAGAAAGCAGATCTAAAGTATATTGGGAAGTGCAGTCGAGGACGTGCTTTTGCAGATAGTTATTCGAAGGTTGGTTGGCATACTCGCCTTGCATTTCTCTTGGAAATTCAAATTCCTTGAGAGAATTGACGGCAATGACTCTTGCATTGGATATATACGTAATACGTGTGTTTTGATGCAGGTTGTGTTTCAGTATATGGCTAGGCATTCTCCGCTGACCTATGATGATCTGCTAGTTGCTGCTAACAAACCACCTTCAGATGTCGAGATGGCAGGCTGATTTTGATGAAGCATCCACCAGAAGCCAACCCCTTCGATCCTTGAGTGAGCTGTATACACCTTCTGCCAGCCTTCTTTGCTACAAAATGCTTATGATTGATTCTACTATGGGGAGGCATAGCAAGGGCATAGACTTTTGCTTCCTTCCTTCCGGTTGATTGTGGCATGAAGCGAAGAAGTTTCCTGCAGCATCAGCAAATGGTTTGACCTCAATACCGGATGTTACCGCCGATGGATTTTGTATGTATTCGTTTATGCATGGAGGATCGATGTTGCTCTCAAACTTTTAATATCTAAGATGAGTTTTGTTAAAATTAGAACAATCATTCTCTTGAATTGATTAGATCACCTAAGGGCCAAAACTCCATTGCTTCTTGTTGACATCAGTGTCGATGAGAGTTAATTTATGGCAAAAAGGGGTCGGGGGTTCCAACTATCCCATGGCAGAGATAGAGTTGAGGCTAACCATGTCAACATTGTGCTAACTCCTAAAAACAAAGGTGCCAAGAAAGCTAAATACTAGAGAAGGCCGCCTAAAACTCAGACCAAGAAAAGAAGAAAACGTTGCTCTCCGCGCTTCGTGAACACATGGCAAGAGCCAAGATGTACGACTGTAGTTTAGGGATGAGAATCAGATTAGTGGACTGTGGTTCCGAGTTTATGTGGAATCGGATTTTGTGAGATAATTTTTTTTTTTTTTACAAAAGAACCGTATATTGATTGACAAAAAGATAATTATATCCTGGAGTGTAACCAGGCCACAAAATCATTAATCAAAGAAATTACTCGTAGTCGGGTACAAAAGAACCATATATTGATACTAGATTTCAACCCGGCCCGTTGGCCGGATGCATTTCATAAATGGTATAAACAACAATAGTAATTTGTTCGAAGTAAAATAAACATGACCAATTGGTGAGTTTTATTTTGCATATCGCAAAATAATAAATAGCAAAAGTCAAGCAAGTTAAAGTTTTATTTGGTAGAAGAAGAGAATCCAAATTATCTAGTAATTGGTAACATTCAAAGGGATTACCGTCATAGTATTTTCTTACCCCTAACCGGTTCATCACCTAAAATCCTTAGATTAAAATACAGACCTCAAACCAATGAGTCAACTCCTAAAAATTTGTTCAAATGACACTTCTGTTTGCTCCTCTTTGATAGAAATTACAATATATTTTTTGGCTTTGTTCGGTTTCCTCTACCATGAGCAAATCATCATTTCCAACAATAACAACGCCTTCATCTCCATTAGGGACACCTCTATACCAATTACCAATGGTCTCTTCCTTATTCTATTGTAGTCCAATGATCTCTTCACCTGCATTTGATCGAACTAAAAATGTTAATCGTAAAATATTTTCAAATATAAAACACAATTTTCGCTAAAGTATAATTTACATCATACAATTAATGAATATTTTCCGCAATTTGTATTCTTTCAATATGTATATTTTATAAGGAACAATGAATCAGTTATCAAGTGAGACGCACCATGAATGATTAGTTGTTTTCTCGATGCTGATACCTTGCAAAATTGTCCTCAATAAATGATCAATAGATGTTTACTCGCTAATCTCCCTAGGAAAACATTTAGAACATACACTATTAGATACACATAAAGCTTTACGTTATCGAATCCCAAATAGACCACGAAACATAAAATTTGTAACTGCTTCATCAAATTCAAGATCTACTTATATATAAAGTTTCAGCAAATATAATTGAATCTATTTCTCAAGGATTATAGAATTTATCTTCCACATCTAGGAATACTAATAAATGAGTATGAGGCATACCACTTTTTTACAATTCATTTGCCAACACTTTTGGAGTGAAAGAAATTATCAATAGCCATCGAAACTGAAAAATAAGTCAACAACTGCAATATAACTTACATGAGCATGTCCTCTAAAAATATCTAAGTCAACAACCGACTTAGTTTCAACTTAAAAACTCTTGCGATTACATCAACTTTATTAGAATCATTTCAAGAAGTAGTCCTTATCAAATCAACTATATTGTATTGAATATCGGGCCAATCAGATTTTATATGAAAATGTAACAAAAAAATCAAGATATATTGTCCATCCATAAATCATCAGATCATGCTCGAAGCTTTCACACTTGCATCGAGAACTATAATGTATGTGATGAAGTCAAAATGACATGTTTTCCATTCAAGCTGGTTTGAATCACCTCTCAAGTAATAATTCAAAAGACATTGTAATAATGTTGTGTTGCTTTGTTCAATTGCTTTTAGTTCAATCTTAATGCTCAACCTCAACCAAAGCTTACGCACTAACAATCATGGTGCAATTCAATTTATCCATTACATGTCAAAATATTTGTACTAATACATGAGTCAACTCTAACATATATTACAATTGCTGAATAATTGTATTGTGTAAAGGATTCCAAAATGATTTCTAAATAAAAAAATCTTATCATTTTTGGACTTCATTGTTAGCATCATGGATGTGGAGTTGAGAAAATTTTAGTATGGTCCTTTCAATAGCTACCAGGTTATCAAGTAATTTTATACTCGATCTTCAATAGGATAAACATATAGTCCACGTACATAATTTACAAATAGGTTAATTTTACCTTTAATAGAAACTGATGAGAATACTCCATTGCATATGTGTTCCAAAAAGCAAAAGATAATTCTAAATAATATAAAAATTAATTTGCCCAACCTTAGACATATGTCATTCTTTGATGTATAACCCATCATAACCATAGTTAGTAAATACTCCGTTTAATACACGTATATGTACCCGTACGTACTTTATCCGTTTAAAACTTCCGTATCCGTATTTTTGTCAAGCCGTTTCATTTTTGTCCGTTCATTTGGTGGCTTCCGTACTAAACACGTATAAAATCCGTATAACACGTTTTATATCCGTATTTAATGAATTAAATTGTTAACTTTACTATTATTTATATATTTATTTATTTTAAAAAATAATTTATTTTATATATTTATGACTATTAACGTACTATTAAACGTAACATTAGCTTAGAGATGAAGTAAAATACCCGTACGTATAATATCCGTAACTTTCCCGTACCCTATTTTACTAACTATGATCATAACCATGTGTTGTTGTGATTCTATTGCATAGTCCATTAGTGTAAAACTGATTGCTAAAGGCTAGATAACAGTGAATTCATGTCAATTTAATTAATCGATGCAAATTAATTAAATTCAATGACTTTTCTTGCAAATAAAGCTTCACCATGAAGAGCTAGACTTGTTAGGAGGAAAGAATAGGGTTCGACTTTGGTATTATTTAGTTTAATTGAGTTCATAAAACTATAGTCTTTTTGGCTTCCTCGTCCATCCAGCTACCAGGTAAGCTACTCATGCTTCTCTATGTCACGTCATTTCAAGTTTAGGAATGACAATTTTGACCTGACTCGTTTCTATCCGAACTGTTTGTCTTGTTTTGGGCGGGTAATACCCGCCCGCAGGTGGACCGGGACATGCATGAATATTGTTCTCGACCCGACCCGCCCTGATTTGCCGCATTCTCGAACCGTAGTTGTGTAAATTATATGTAATTTTACATAAATGAAATAATATTTTAATTTTATTATACTTTAGCTATAATCTCAAATTGTCGAATAATTTAATTCTACTTATCATGTTATAGTTTATTTGTCAATTTTTTAATGCAAAAATTAATTTATCAAGTATTTTCCATTACAATATATACCCATATGGGTCGACCTGTCCTGATCTGCGCTTTAGAATAAATACCTAACATGTCACAGGGCGAGTATGGATATCAATTACGTGCTCGAACTACCTCATTGCCATTCCTATTCAAGCTAACCTATTTGGTTTTTGCCTTTGTTCATTTTGGGTTAATCACGTTTTTCATTGATCTAAATCAAAATCATCAAACCACAAAGAATGAAACTCTTACCCTTAATAAAATAAAACCAAGATCATTCAGGCCCAAAATAAATTAAGACCCACAAATATATATACACGAAAAACAAAGAAACTTGTTTTTGGATAAAAAACAAAAAAAAAAACAAAAAGACCAACAGCTCCTCTCTAATTCTGCGCACAGGGCAGCAAAATAAGAATGGAGGGGGTCTTGGAGGAGAACCTCCTTATATTGGTTGGAGGATTTTTTTATGTGAGATAAATAATTAATTGTAAAGACAAAAATGTCCTTCCTACTTTCACTCTCGTTGCAGAAAATTTGAAATGAAGAAAAGTACACAAAAGTGTACTATATATTATTGGGGATTAAAGTTCAGAGCAAAGGTGTTGTCATTTATTTTCCCCCACTCTCATATAAAACTTAGGGTAAATATAATATAGGCAAAATACAGTTGTATATCCACAACTATCAGGTTTGTGACAAATATATCCACAACTATCGAAATACACGAAATATCCAAAAATCGGAAGGTTGTGTGACAAATCTATCCACTTTCCGTCCGAAACTATAACGGCGTGTTAGACGGCGTTAAATTGACTAACAGAATGCTGAATCGATGCCATCTCACCTGCCACATAAGCCAAAAAGCAAGCAAACTTTACACGTATATGCCAAATAGGCTAGTTGAATAAAGGCAAAATACAGCCGTATATCCACAACTATCAGGTTTGTGACAAATATATCCACCACTATCAGGTTTGTGACAAATATATCTACAACTATCGAAATACACGAAATATCCATTTCCGTCCACTCCGTTAACTCCGTCAGTTAACTTGATGACAGACGTAGATGCTTAGTTGGCGTGTTTCTGACCCCACTAAATGACGTGGATTAAAAGAAAAAAAAAATTAAAAACCCTAAAAACTACAGACGGCGAGACTAAAAATCCAACCCAGAAACACGCCTGATAACCATTGATCCTCCTCCGATCAACGCCTCCACCACCAAATAACCCTACCCTAAGCCCAGATTTCAATTCCAACCACAATCCCCAACCATTGCCTCCCTTTTACTCGACGAATTCCATGTAGTCGGCGCCATGGTGATACCAAGCTTGAATCTCAAATAAAAAAAGCTTGAATCTAACCAAATCGCCAATAGAGAAGACTGCAGTAGCGAGGTAACAGATAACGGTGTAAAGTTTGGTTGCTTTTTGGCTTATGTGGCAGGTGAGATGGCATCAATTCAGCATTCCATTAGTCAATTTAACGCCGTCTGACACGTCGTTATAGTTTCAAACGAAAGTGGATAGATTTGTCACATAATCTTCCGATTTTTGGATATTTCGTTTACTTCGATAGTTGTGGATATATTTGTCACAAACCTTATAGTTGTGGATATACAACTGTATTTTGCCTATTTTTTGCTCTTTTAATCCACGTCATTTAGTGGGGTCAGAATCACGCCAACTAAGCATCCACCATCTGTCCAGTCATCAAGTTAACTGACGAATTTAACAGAGTGGACGGAAATGGATATTTCGTGTATTTCGATAGTTGTGGATATATTTGTCACAAACCTGATAGTTGTGGATATACAGCTGTATTTTGCCTATAATATATTAGCCACAACTATTAAGTAACGAAAAATTATAGTCATTACTATAGAAATACAAATTATTAGTCGTAATTATTGTTGCGGGTTAATATATGGTTAATAGTCCGTTACCGTCATTAATTTTGTAACGAAAACTATTTTTTATTCTCACCCGCACTTATGTGGGTGGGTGGTGGGCGGATTGTGGGTCACCCGTATGACCCGCATCCTATTTTCACATGAAAAAGTATTGTTTATCATAGTATCGAATATTCATCATATTTTCAAACCGCACTACATTCTGACCATATACTTCAAAAGGTGGAGAATAAAAATAGTTTTGACTACTATTATTATTGGTAATTGTGTTGTGCAATATCCATTAGATATTTGATATTGGGATGCAAAGTATTATTAATATCCATTACATATTAGGATACAAACTATAAATTATTAATTGTATCAAAATCACAAATTGCGTAAGTTTTCTTTACATACACAGTTGGTTGATAGAGTAGTAAGATTTTGATGCAAATACTACATGGATTCACTCGAGACAAAATGAGAAGTCTCTAAATTGATACAGTGTTACTAATTTGCTATGAACTTATTATAAATGTTAGCCAAGTTTTGTAATTGCTCGTTGGAGAATTAATCCGCCACCCACCCAACCCAACCCGCAGAAGAATGTGGGTGTATTGCAGATCACAATTATTTCAACTAGCTAATAAGCGGGTGAGTCAATTTGAGACCAAACCCCATCCAACCCGACAATTGCCCACCCCTACCAGTTAGTGCGCCAGAACGGGAACTCTCACGGTTAGGAAGCGGCAAGTGAGAGAAACGCCGTGAAACAAGCGGCATAAAGGAACCAGTGATCGAGTCGCTAAATCCAGGCTTGGAACGATGGCAGTGAAGCTGATGACGCCGAGTTGCACAACGACGATGAAATAGAAACCCCACAACGAGCAAACCACACGAGGCGGACCTTGATGTACTGATAACTTTTTCCAAAACGAGGGGCGAAGTTGAGAGAATGTTGTGTTGAGTCGGTGCCTCGGTGGTAGAAGCCTAGAAGGTGTGGCCAAAAGAGGAGAGGGAGTCAGGGGAGGAAGGAGTTTGGCAGATGTAGTGATGGCTCGACCCATCTCTCCCCACCTTATTAATCATGTAATGCACGCTTCTATTTTTAATTATTTCGAAATTAATATGTTTCCACGTCACATATTATGATATTTGTGACTATAACATCCCGATGCTTAATAGTTATTACTAATATATTGTATTACCCTAAAACTTAACAAGCCTGGTTATTTTTTTAATATCAATTAACAAGTCACATATGTAGGGTCAAATATTTCCAGTGCAGCAAACACTATCATGGCATGGCTTAATTGCACTTACGCTTCTGACCTACGACTATACCACGAAAACGCCTCAAGAAAAGACGTCTCAATACACGACACAAGCACAACTACAGATAATGATTCTCTCTCCAAGACTCCAAGAATGATTGAACAAAAGTAAATGAGTTACAAGGCAACTGGCTATAGTTCTTCAAATAAGGCAACTGGCAATTCACTTCTCATAACAAGATATGGAAACGGAAAAGAGCATATAGGAGGCAGAACCACCGCTTCAAACCTTTCCAAATGCACCCTCAGGTATCATCGACATCCACCCCTCTTTCTGCAAACAACATTAGGACGACAAAAATGAGAACCAGCACTTGTTGGGACAAATGAGCAATCCTCAAGTGATATGAATGTGTATCAGCACAGGCAGTGTACTCACAGATCTTGTTGAAGGCAACAATGTCACAGCTCTGGACATATTCATTGATAGGCTCCACAGTCAACCGTTCTTCAATGAGTGTATCAACTGACACTAGGTCATCCACAATAGTAAGCATGATCTGCAATTTCTTAATACCATACCCCACGGCTACAAGCTTGGCTGAAGGAGGAAACAAAGTACAACCACGAAAAATAAGTAGCAAAGTAGGAATAAAGGAGTACATAACAGACACTACTTAGAGTATTGAATATGGTCTCCATCACAAATATTTTAAAAAAATTATACAAAGCAATATCGCTCTTCCCTTTCTTCGTAATGAAAATAGAGCAACCAGGAACAAAAAAGTGCTAAATAGCGATAAGACTTACATGCTCCCCAGAATAGTCCTTCCATCTCAACACCTCTGACTGCTTCCTCAAGCTTTTTCATGTCAGTCTCATCATCCCATGGCTTAACATCCATTAGAACAGAAGACTTGCCAGCTGAGAAGGAAAGACGTGAACCCCATACGGGAACTAAGTTTTCCACATCGATTTCATTATTGAAGTTATATACAGGCAGAAACCAATAAAGCAATAGATATCCACCCATAGAATGTACATATTCATAACAGTGCGCAATAAATTTATGCTAGACTTACACTCTTTCTTTTTAGAAGATGCCTTAACAGAAGCTGCACGCTCTTCTGCAGCCTTCTTCTCCTCTTCAGTCTCTTCACCAAACAGATCCACATCATCATCATCGTCGTCGTCAGCAGCAGCAGCCTACAACACACAAAGATATCAAGTTTTTACCACTTCACTAAATAAAAGCTCTCTAGCTAAACTAACCTAGTAGGAGTTGCTAAATGGAGTTGGCCCTAAAACAAGAGACAAATGATGCATATAATAAGACTCGCAGCGAAACCAGAAAGGAATCACTCACCTTGGTGTCACCAGTAGGAGGAGTTGCAACTGCTCCAGAAACAGGAGCAAATCCCACAATGGTAACTCCAGACCCTTCTCCAGTAACACCACTGCAAAGATGACCAAATCACAGATCAATCCTCCTCCAAGGGCCAATGTTAGATCAAACAAGAGAGAAACACAGAAATCAAAGAAGAAAAATTTTACTCCGGAACTTACGAAATCCTCAAAAGCGCATCGATGTGCTTGAACCACCTAGTGAGGTTGACCAAATCAGATGATGGGGCGCTGGGAATTGCTGAGTAGACGGTAATATCGTCTTTAGAAGCTTGATATCTAAGAAGGGCAAAGCATAATATCATCATCAATCGGATAATTAAATTTCATGCTGAAACATCACATCAAAGAATCGCATAATTCAGTCCTCCAGCCTAAAATAGAACTTACCCAGTGATGTAACTACGAGTGAGAAGGTACTCATCGAGTTTCTTGAGGCCAGCTGGTGTGTTGAGAGCATGGAATGCAACCGCCATTGCTAGAAAAATTTTAAGTGTATAGCTACTGCACGATACAGAAACAGTAAAATAGCCTCAGAAACTCAAACCGCAATACCTAAGCGCCAACCAATTGATCCGATCAGATATTAAGTACCGAATAAAAGAAATTCAATGGTGCAGGAAGAGATTGATCTTACCCAGCCGGTTGCAGAGATGTGGACGCTGTAAGGCTATCAGCGAGAGCAGAGTGAAGATTAGGGTTTGGGGAGTGCCGTAAAGGGGGCAGTTTTAAGTTTATATAAAAGTAGTTTGCAGGCCGATCGAGCTTGTTACGTTTAGGTAGCCATTGTGGAACAACGTAAAGCCCATTTCGGGTTCTTTTTTTTATATTTTATTTGCTAAAAGCCCATTCGGTCACGAAAACTGAATCCCTAGCCCAGTCTTACACTACTTTTATTAAAATATTCTCGAGAAATCAAAATTCATCCAAAACTGAAGGAACAATATAAATATCATAAACTATCTTAGAAACATGCTCCTTTCCTTTAACAAATCATATAAACTCGATTAGGTTAGAATTTAGGAGAAATCAAAATATCTTATGTTAGAATTTACTCACAACTCGATTGCTCTGCTAAACTCTTTTGCCTTGATGATTCTCCGGCATGCTCCTTTCCTTTAATAAATCATATAAACATGTTTAATACATGAGCAAATAATTATCGAACAACTTAATCAAAACCATATAGTCTATAAACACTTAATCCTCCCAATTAATTACCCTTCTCGGAACACTTGTATCTTATTCCTTAGCTTTCCCCATTTTTAGTCTTAATCATGATTAAGAATACACATATGCAACCCCCACTACTAAGATACATATATTAATCTTTTCCCCACCTGAACCCCCACATAATTACCCAAACGTTTGACTTCTCCTATTCCATTTACATCCACTATTGAGTTTTCGCAATACTTGCACATGTCTAAACAATGATAATACAAAGAGCTATATATATACTCATGTCACCTGTGTTTATATATCCATACTTAAGCATTTCCAAACACACAATCAATATTGTTAATCCATATTACAATCTCCATTCCACGCATGATTGCTTGGGTGCGAAGTACCCCCAGTATATCAGCATGCAGAGTAATGATTAATTAACTCATGCATTATATTCCTTCAGCCACTACCACATATACATAAACTTCATTAGCTACGGATAGCTAGGCGCTCATCAGCTTCAGCATTACCTTATATGCCTGCACTCTTGCTGCTAACCCCTTCACCTAGAATTCTTCTAGCCAAGCATGACAATGGTAGGGACGAGAAAAGAGTTGAGTGATGGAGGCACTATGACGGAAGGGTTGTTCTTCTATCCTCACTTATCTCCAGAAATATGAAGTGGTGGATAGTCTTTATCCCTCGGCTCCTAGGGAATCATTTACCCCATCCCATTTATTTCCCCAGACCAAACAAAACCCACTAACCCCGTGTTCTCTACTGCTCATGTGTGGGAAATAGAACCTCATTTAAAGTAGGGTTGGTTAACGGTTTAACCGTTAACCATACCGGTAATCGCGGTTACTGGTTAAACCGTTAACCATTTGGAACGGTATTCGGACGTGGAATTGTGGGAAGTGGTATACAGATGCGAACTCGGTAATTTACCGTCGGGGTATTCCGAAACCGAATATGAAAGGGCGGCAAAATGTCGGCAGCAAGTGTGTACCAACTCTAATTAAGTAAATAACCTCGTAACTAATTAGTAATTACTATTTGCATCGCTCTCTGACTCTCTCCCCTTCCTACCGTATGAGGAGTCACACCGCCTAATCCCTCCTTTGCTCATAGAATCCAAACGCCGCACGATCAAAACCTGCGGAATCTTCGTCCTCTCCGTCGCCGGCGCAAGCTCGACCCACGAGACACGACCCAGCAGCCTAGTACGCCATTTCATCCTCTCCATCGGGCCCGTCGCCATTGGCCCTGTTTCCATCGACCCCCGTCAACTGCCAGCATCAGAGCTTAATCGCTCGCCTAACAACCCAACAATTGGCCTCTCCATCTATTTCATGTAATGAAGGTTGAATGATTGATTGGCCTCTCCATCGACTCACATATTTGTAGTTTTGTAATTTATGGTTTACTTTATATGTTCTCCATCAATAAGCCAATAAAGCCCAAGTCAAAGAGCTAATTGGCCGCACACTGATTTCCTTCCACTTTGGTGCACTAATTTCCGCAGTAGTCAACGGTACTGAATTTCGTAACCACTTTACGGTAAAACGGGTAACAGAGGAAAAATCGATACCATCCCAATCGGTAATCGGCTTACCGGAATTTACTCGGTATCGGCAAACAGCAGCGGTGTACTGATTTCTGGTATACCAATAACCGGTTTAATGATAGGGTTCTAGCACATGTGAGGGGTTCTAGCCAGTTTTGGGGGTAAGGTTAATATATAGGCTACTAGACCTATCTTCTCCAAAATCTCGTAGGGCCCAATGTACTTAGGACCTAGCTTACCCTTCTCTCGAAATCGAAAGATTCCTCTCCACGGTGACACTTTCAAAAATACCTTGTCACCAGCAGTAAAATCCATTTCTTGTCGATGAGCATCGGCATAGCTTTTCTGTCGACCTTGGGTAGATTTCAACCGATCTTGAATCATTTTAATTTTATCCACTGTAGCTTGCATGATTTTAGGCCCTTCAAGTTGTCTCAAGGCCTTTTCATCCCAACATATCGGAGTTCTACATTTTCGCCCTTATAAAGCTTCATATGGTGTCATCCCAATGCTACTGTGATATTGGTTGTTGTATGCAAATACGATCAACGATAGATGTTCATCCCATGAGCCATGGAAATCCATGACACAAGCCCTTAACATTTCCTCCAGGGTGAGTATGGTACGCTTGCCTATCTGTTTGAGGATGAAAGGCAATAGAAAAGTTCAATTAAGTACCCAAATAATCTTGTAGGCTCTGCCAGAACCGTGAGTTAAACCTCGAATCTCGATCAGATACTATAGATATGGGTACTCCATGTAATCGTACGATCTCTTCTACATACCTTTTTGCCAAATGCTCCAACGAACAACCCCATCCGATTGGAATAAAGTGGGCCGACTTGGTTAGTCGATCCACAATCACCCAAATGACATCATTCTTCTTTTGAGTTCTAGGTAAACCGTAGACATAATCCATAGTAACATTTTCCCACTTCCATTCTGGAATGGATAATGGTTGTAACTTCCCTACAGGTGATTGGTGCTCAGCTTTCACTCGTTGACATACTAGACATGTCAACACATATTCTGCCACTTCCTTCATTCTGGACCACCAATAATGTGATCTCAATGAGCGGTACATTTTTGTTGCACCAGGATGCATCGCATAAGGTGAGGAGTGAGCTTCCTCCAAGATCTCCCTACGCAATTCATCCACATTAGGAACACATAATCTGCCATTCAATGAAAGAACTTCATTATGCAATTCAAACTTTCCATCCTTCCCATTTTTAATCTTCTCAATTATCTTTTTAAGAAAAGGATCACGATTTTGAGCTTGTTGAATCCTTCCTCGTAAGATTGACTGTACTTGTAGAGTAGCTAATAAAACCCCATCATTATCCACACTAAGATTCGCATTCAACGCCCGTAAGGCTAGCATTTCCCAAGTGGGATTTAATGCAGATTGTGAATCAGAGTCTTTTGATTTCCAGTATGAAGCATCAGCTACAACATTGGCTTTACCCGGATGGTACTCAATAGTACATTATAATATTTTAACAATTCCATCCATTTTCTTTGCCTCAGATTCAACTCTTTTTGCCCCATTAAGTACTTCAAACTCTTGTGGTCGGTAAAGATTTGAAAAGTTTCACCATACAAGTAGTCTGTCCAAATCTTTAGAGCAAAAACCATTGTTGCCAATTCTAGGTCATGGGTAGGGTAGGATTTTTCATATGGTCGCAGTTGTCTTGAGGCATAAGAAATCACCTTCCCATTTGTATTAGAACACAACCCAAGAAGCCTTGATGCGAGGCATCGCTGTAAACCACCAAACCACCTGTCCTTGCTGGTAGTGCTATGATAGGTGCAGTTTTGAGTTTTGTCTTTAGCTCTTCAAAACTAGCTTGGCATTCAGTTTTCCACACATAGGGATGATCTTTCCTCGATAATTTTTTCAATGGCAAGGCGATGATAGAAAATCCCTCGATGAACCTTCTGTAATCACCTACCATTCCCAAGAAACTTTGTAACTCTGGTACACTCTTCAGTGGTTCCCACTTCACCATGACTTCCACTTTCTTCGGATCAACTTCAATTCCCCTTCTGAAAACAACATGTCCCAGAAATATAACTTGATCCATCCAGAAGTCACACTTGCTAAATTTAGCATACAACCGCTTATCCATCAAGATTTGAATTATCCTCAAATGCTCTCTATGCTCTTCTTCACTTCTAGAATACACCAAGATATCATCTACGAAAATTATCATAAACTTATCTAAGTATCTTGGAAGACATTGTTCATCAACGCCATAAAAGCAGTTGGAGCATTTGTTAGTCCAAATGTCACAACAAGGAATTTGTAATGTCCATACCTCGTACGAAAATCCGTTTTAGGTATGGCTTCCTCTGTCACCTTTAATTGACGATATCCTGACCTTAGGTCAATTTTGGAGAAGACTTTTGACCCTTGTAATTGGTCGAATAAATCATCAATAAGGGGCAATGGATATTTATTCTTCACAGTTACCGTGTTAATCCTTTGGTAATTAATGCAAAACCGTAGGGTTCCATCCTTATTCTTCACAAAAAGTACGGGAGCACCCCAGGGTGACACACTTGGCCTAATAAATCCCTTATCTAGCAAATCTTGAAGTTTCTCTTTCAACTCCTTCAACTCCACAGGCGCCATCCTATATGGTGGTATATAAATAGGTGTGGTGCCCGTTAGCTATTCAATAGTGAATTCTACCTCCCAATCAGAAGGTAGTCCTAGTAGGTCAGATGGAAACACATCCAGTAGTTCATTCACCCGGTCGTCAATCGACGATCTACAGCTCCCTCGTAGTTGCGGATGCCCATGCTTTGATTCGAAAGCCCTAGCCAGTGATGAATCGACGATCTACTTCTATATTTTCTGTTTTTTTTTCTCTTCTTTAATCTCCAATACATGAGCAAGGAAGGCCACACACCCCTCCTTAATCAAGCTAAACACCTTGGAAGCAAATATTAGGCAACTAGGTACTATTTGACTAATTCCACTAAAGACAACACTTCCGTGCTCGGGTACCTCAAATACCACTTCTTTTGTATGACAATTCACCACAGCCCTATGCCGACTCAACCAATCCATTCCCAGCATTACATCGAAATCA